ACCGCATGCTACCCTTCCGCAAACTCCTCAAACCTGGTACCCCCTTCTCGTGGACCGATGAGCTGGACTGCCTATTCGAGGAATCAAAGGCCCTCATCGTCAGCGAAATCCACAAAGGGGTGGAGATATTCGACAAGACCAAGCCGACCTGCCTCGCAACTGACTGGAGCAAAGATGGTCTGGGATTTTGGCTGCTCCAGAAGCACTGCGACTGCCCCTCCTCAAAACCCTTCTGCTGCAAGACTGGTTGGAGGGTGACTCTGGTTGGGAGCCGCTTCACTTCAGGTGCCGAGTCCCGCTACGCCCCAGTGGAGGGGGAGGCCCTTGCTGTCATCGATGCACTTGACAAGGCCCGCCACTTTGTCCTTGGCTGCTCTGACCTCATAGTGGCGGTGGATCACAAGCCCCTCCTGAAGGTGTTCGGTGACCGCTCACTTGAGGACATCCCAAACCCTCGCCTCCGCAACCTCAAGGAGAAGTCCTTGCGCTACCACTTCCGCATCGTCCACATACCTGGTGCACGCCACGCTGCAGCTGATGGGGTATCCCGCCACCCCGTGGGTAAAGGCGCACCGCTACAGCTCCCTGATGATGTCGCACCTGTGCACTATGACTCAAGCGAACCAACGACCACTGTGCTGCCACATGACTTCCTCACTGCTGTCCGCACCAGTGGCCCAGACCCTGTCGAAGTATGCAGTCAGTCTGCCACCACAGCTGCTAAGATGATCAAATCAGTCACATGGAATGATGTCCGCCTCGCCACATCCAGTGATCCAAACATGTGCAGACTGATTGAGATGATACAAGGGGGCTTCCCCACTCTCCCTGGTGACCTCCCCCGTGAGCTCCGGCCATACCACCAATTCCGTGAGAATCTGTCAGAGTTTGATGGCGTATGCCTTTACAATGACCGTGTCATCATTCCCTCGTCCCTCCGTGCCCGGGTCCTTGAAGCACTACACTCGGCCCACCAGAGCATCACCATGATGTGCGCACGAGCTCAGTCCTCATTCTTCTGGCCAGGTATGACCCCCGCCATCACCGATACACGGGCACGTTGCTCTCCCTGCAACCGTATGGCGCCATCACAGCCAGGCGCACCGCCAACGCCTCCCGTCCAGCCCGATTATCCATTCCAATGCATTGCCGCTGACTACTTCACCTACCGCGGCTGTCACTACCTGGTGGTGGTGGATAGGTACAGCAACTGGCCAATCGTCGAACAGGCAGCCAACGGCGCCAATGGACTCATTACTGCATTGCGCCGCACCTTCGTGACCTATGGAATCAGCGATGAACTGTCCTCAGACGGTGGCCCAGAGTTCACCGCAGGGTCCACCCGCGCTTTCCTCCGCAACTGGGGCGTGTGTCACCGCATCTCATCCGTCGCCTTCCCCCACAGCAACTGCCGTGCTGAAGTGGGCGTCAAGACTGTGAAGCGCCTCATCACTGACAATACTGACGCTGAAGGCACACTTAACACTGATGAATTTCAGCGTGCCATGCTCCAGTACCGCAACACGCCCGACCATGACACACACCTCTCCCCTGCTATGTGCGTCTTCGGGCGTCCCATCCGTGACTTCATACCCATCCACCCTGGGAAGTACAACCCACACAGCACATGGCGGGAGACACTCACATCCCGCGAGGAGGCACTGCGCAACCGGCACATGCGCGCTGCAGAGCGTCTCTCAGAGCACACCCGTCCCCTCACGCCACTGATTGTCAGCGACTGCGTGCGTATCCAAAACCAGACCGGACCGCACCCGACCAAGTGGGACAAGACTGGGGTTGTGGTGGAGGTGAGGCAATTCGACCAGTATGTCGTGAGGGTTGATGGATCTGGTCGAGTCACCCTACGCAACAGGCGATTCTTGCGGAAGTACTTGCCTGTCGTTCCACGTGCGCCCCTCCTAATGGCACCCGGCCCAACACCTTTGCTGCCGGGGTCGCATGCAGCTAGCCAGCACCCGAAAGCAACCCCTCTGGTGCAGGCCAACAACCGGTTACCACAGGACACCTCAGCCACACCACCTGCGATGCTTCCAGCCGTCTCCCAGCCAACCCGCACCAACCATCCTCCAACCCCGGATGGCTTGGAACCGACTCCCACCTCACCTGTGACACCCACCGTGGCCACCACGCGTCCACCCAATAGCCAGTCCCACCCAGGCTCCGTTCCCCGTGCACTCCGCGGCCTCCTGCCACACAATACTCCTGGTCTGAAGGAACACCTGGCCCCGACCGTGGATCTACCACCCCTGGACCGCTCCTTGACTGCCCCACGCCGATCCACTCGCTTGTCACGACCGCCGGCCAGGCTGCTTAGGGATGAACTATAGGACACCCATATACTCTGGACTTTTTTTTTCTTCTTCTTTTTTTTTATATAGCCAAAGTTACAGCTACAGTTTACTTCCTATAACCTATGCTTATTCTTGTTTCGATCTTTGCTTATTGTTCATGTTCACGCCTTTGCAATCTGTGCATTTCTTTAGGTTACTTAGTTATGTCTGTTACATTTGGAAACTTTTCTTCCTAGAATTGTTAGCCTTTGTTATTCCCAAAGACTTGGGGGGCATATAGAACTATGATTCATAATGTAATCTTTTCCTTTACTTTGCAGCCGCTGTTGTCATTGGTTGATGACTAATAAACACTACACGAACTATCAACTAAAGAGTTATACTTATTGAATATATGTTTTCAAAAATGGCTTATTTGATGACGTCATGATGATTTTTCAAAATTTTGTGCATATGTACCTATTACATTTGTAACTAACAAACCAAAAACAAAAAGAATTTTGAATTTAGCTAACTGCATTCATGAGATATGGCTTGAAGGTCCAAAAATTTAAAAACATAAAATCACACGATGTCAATATGACGCCATCTCAATTTTTACCTATAACACATCCCGGTCTACATACCGAATTTCAACCAAATCAGACTTAACAGTTTTGTATAGGACTTTAAAATATGCACATTTATGGTAACGTCACGTCACCCATGGTGACGTCATGATGATGTCACTCTTTAGGTCACAACTTTGCTATAGGGACTATGCCTATGCTGACTTTGGATAGGGCTCGCACACCTGCTGGTTGCTACCGATTGAAGTGAGATGAATCAATGAAGAACTCAGAGGAGATTATTCTCAGGTTCTGTGCCACTGCAGCTTTATTCATCAGACATAATGTAAGAGTGAGCGCGGGCGAACTGTTCACCTAATGTGCTTGCGCGCATACAAAGTAGTGCGCATGAAGTATCACAACATCCCTCCCCTTTTGAAAGTACAATTTCAGGAATAATTATTGGTGTACACATAAAACTGGAATTTACTTAATTAGCAAGCATTTACATGAAATGTGTATAAGATTTGAGGCTTTGCATGGTGGGGTATCGGTATCGTTTCGGTTTTGCGGTAACACCATGTGGTAATCACTACTGCTTAGAAGATATTATTTCTGAGAAGAACTTGTCCTGCTTATTATCAACTTGCTAAGTAGTTTTTGTTCTGTTTAGAACAGTCCTGCTGTAAGTTCTAAAAGAACTTGTCTTTGGTCTCAACGTTTCGACTAGCCTGCTCTAGTCATCGTCAGGAGACTGAAGATAGTTGGAGATGCTACTCCTTAAGTAGGATTGGTTAGGATTAGGAGTGCTTGCTGGGCATGCCCTGCTCGCTCGGGTGTGTCAGTTGGTTGTGAGCCATGGGCATTGTGTTGAGGGATGCCCGCTGAGCGTCCTGCTCGCTCGACTGTGTCAGTTGGCTGTGAGCCTTGGGCATTGTGTTGAGGGATGCCCGCTGAGCGTCCTGCTCGCTCAGGTGTGTCAGTTGGCTGTGAGCCACGAGTGTTGCAACTTGGAATAACTGAATGCCATATGTGGCTTATGAAGTAGCCGATATCTTGTGGGACAGTGTCATGTTTGTGGATCTCAATAGCTTCTCTGATACGACGGGTGTACCAGTGTTTCTCTGGGGCTATGATTTCCGCTTGTTCCCAATCAACAACATGATCCAGATCAGCAGAGTGTTTGACAATTGCCGATTTGTCAAGTTCCCCTCTGCGGCCGTGAGCTATGTGTTCTTTAAGCCTGGTAGTGAGGTCTCTGCCAGTCTCGCCAATGTACACTTTGCCACATGAGCAAGGAATTCGGTAAACTCCTGCTTGACTTCTCGGGTTGTGCTTGTCTTTGTGGGTGTACAATTTCGTTTCGAGTTTATTGCGAGTTCGGTAGTAGACCTTAATATTGGCTTCACGGAGGATTCGCTGGATCTTGTGTGATGCATGGCCAATATATGGAAGGACTGCAACCGGCATATCGGGTGTGTTCAGGGTCTGAGACATGCTCGAATCCGGTGCGAGGCTGTGATTCTTAGGTCTGTACCCATTGTCTCTTGGCACTTTATTGAGGTGCTTCAGTTCGGATTGTAGGTGTTCATCATCACTGATGATATGTGCCCTTCGAAGTAGGGTGCGGTTCACCGAGGTTTTCACTGATGGTGGGTGAAATGAACGAGAACGACCGACTCTCTGGCTAGACGTCTTGTCTTCTCTATACCCATATGGCCTGTATGGAGCTGTTGTAAGATATCCGTCTGAAGTGAGTCTGGAATGATGACCTGTCTTCCTTTGAAGATTATTCCCCAGGAGATACCAAGCTCATCCCTGTATGGCCAGTAGACCCGTAGGTCTCGAGGTAGTTCCTTGACGGAGTCTGGCCAGCCACTGTATATTATCTGACACAGTGCACTTAGTACAGGGTCTCTTGCTGTTTCTCTCTGCAGTTGCTCTTGCTTAGACTGCCCAAAATGCACAAGGTCCATGCACATGGCGTCTTGGCCTTCATAGACATCAAAACTGCCGACCAGTCTGTCTAGGGGTATGTCATCACTCTTTGTCGGGTTTGGCAATCTGCTCAGGGCATCTGATAGCGTCATTGTTTTCCCTGGTCTGTACTGTACGTCAAAGTTGTATCCTTGCACCTTAATTAGCAAGCTTGCAGACGAGGTGGTGCACTCGAGAGGGGTTTCTTCCAGATCATCTCAAGTGGCTTGTGATCAGTGTGGAGTGTAAACTCTTTCCCGAAGAGATAGCTATGGAACCTGGTGATGCCGAACACTAGGGTTAGTGTTTCTCTCTCTATGTTAGAGTAGTTGGCTTGTGCCGGGGAAAGACTCTTCGACGCAAATGCTATCGGCCTGTTGTTTTGAAGGAGGCAGGCTCCCAGACCCTTCTGTGATGCGTCGACTTCCAGCACAGTGTGTATCTCTGGGTTGTAGTACTGGAGACACGCTTCAGTGGTGATGGAATATTTCAAGGCTTCGAATGCTGCTTGATGGTCATCCTGCCACAGATATGGCACATTCTTCTTCAGGAGATCCCTGAGGGTCGCTGCTTTGTCTGCCAGGTTAGGGATATATGCAGAGACGTATGTGATCAGGCCTAGGAATTTTTGCAGGTCTTCCTTGTCCTGAGGTGTTGGAATGCTGTGGATGTCCTCAATTCTGCCTGGGTCCGGCCGGATGCCGGTGTCGGAGTACAGTGACCCAAAGAAGTTGATTTGGTTGGTCTTGATGTGGCATTTGTTGCTGTTGAAAACTAAGCCTTCACGGCTGGCTATTTGAAGTAGATTCAGGAGGTTGGCATCGTGTTCTTCCTCAGTACGGCCATATACAGCAACATCGTCAGCAATGCCGACGCATCCTGGAACCTGTTCTATGATGTCGTCCATGCACTGCTGGAAGATGTCTTGGCTGATGGAGAGACCAAATGGAAGGCGCTGGAAACAGTACCGGCCAAATGGCGTTCGAAAGGTGGTCAGCTCTTGGGATTCTTCCTCGAGCTTGACGGCCCAATACCCAGCTTTAGCATCAAGCTTCGAAAAGAATTTGGCTTGAGAAAATGCTGGGTTGAGTTCCTCCAGTGTGGGTATTTTGTGCGGACATCTCTTGAGGCTCTGGTTCAGCCGCTTAGGATCCAGACAGACCCTAAGTGTCCCATCTTGTTTCAAGTTCGTGGTTATCGAACTACACCAGTCGGTGTGATGGGTGACCTTTCTAATTACACCTTGCTGTTCCATCTTGTCAATCTCTATTTTGAGCTTCGGCTTCAGGTGTATGCTACACTTCCTGGGCGCGTCAATGCTCGGTTTAGCATCCTCCTTTAGATGAAGAGTTGCTCTGGCTTTGAAGTTTCCAATTGTGTCAAATTGGTTGGGGTACAACCTCACGAGGTCGTGGACCGACTTGATGGTGTCATGTGACAGATTTTGGGGTTCACCTACTCCTGGTTGTTTGGGTGATGCAGGGGGTTGAGGTGAGGATTCAGTGGAGTGGATGGTGACCACTTCAAGCTCGCAGCACATGGGCAGGCCGGCTATGGCTGGTCCAGGGACATCTACGACGTAGAATCTGTTCTTTGTCCACTTCGGTGTCTTGTAGCGGCATAAAAGCTCAATGCACCCTAGGCATACAATCTCTGTACCGTTGTACGCCGTCAGCTTGGTCTTCACAGGCTGGACGAAAGACTTCCATCGACATCCATACATCTGTTTGATCGTACGGAGTGGCAACGTGTTTCCTCCGGCTCCAGTGTCTACTTTTGTGATTAGTCGGTGTGTGCCGATGAGGTCGGGGCAGATAACGTCAAGCGTTGTGTATGCCTCCCTGTTGTTGTCTATCGAGCTCATGCAGAGGTTCGAGACAGTAACTGTGTGGAATACTGTTTCATATTCCTCTGAAGCTTCTGCTGAATGGATGGGTTGTTCATCTCTGTTGGTGTCACTTGGCTTCTGCTTGCCGGCATTGGATCGACTTTTGGATCTTGGTCTGCGAGTTGTATTTCCTCGCGATGGGCTGCGGCCACGTCTGGACGGAGATTTGCCCTTGCGTTTACCCTGGCTTCGGGTCTTTCTGCAGAATTTGGCCCAATGGCCCTTGGAACCACATGATTTACATGTGTCCCGGTAGGCAGGACACCGTCTTGGTGGGTGGGATAGACCACAGTTGCCACAGGTTCTGCCAGTGGGTCGGAAAGCATGGACAGCTGTATGTGACGCCTCCAACGTCTCAAGGCACTTTTTGCCAGCAAGGATGGCTTCGTACTTCCGTCCCTCTTGTAGCATGTCATCGATGCTAAAACCAATGGGTTTGTCTAGAAGATCTTTCTGGAAAGATTCAGATGTGGTAGACGCAATCACTAATTTGATGATGCGTTCCGTCATTTCCTCTGGTCCGAAGTTACATTCGTGTGCCTTTGCTCGGCATCTGTTGACGAAGTTGTCCAGGGATTCATCTGGTTTCTGGCGATACCGCATAAGCTCCAGGCGATGTATGCGGAAGTTCACTTTGATGTGTAGCTGCTTCTCGAACAACTCCCATAACTGGTTGGGGATCAGTTGTTCTTCTGCTGACAGGTCGAAGAATTTATCATTTTGAGGCCTCCAGTTCCGACTGCTATTTGTATCTTAACAGCACGCTTGGCAGGATCGGTGATTTCCTGGTCCCTGATGCTCGGGTCCATCCGTTGTTTAAAAAGCTTAAACTCTTCTGCGATGTCTGTGGCACCCCAGTTCATTTCTGGGAACTTGGCCATGATGCAGGGCTGTGGGATAGAAATCTCTGGGATACAATTCAATATGCTACAGCACACGAAATTGTAAACAATAGCAACTGCAATGTAGCTTAAAGGTAAGTGCTACGATTAGTGATCACAATAAATCACAACAATATAATTATTTCAATAATAATTTTGACTATTCAACAATATATTTGTCACAACACATATTATTGTTCATATATGAAATGTCCAGAGTTCTTTTGGTGAGCAGTCCTTTCTCCAAGAATGTCCAAACACAGTTTGTCCTGCTTTTCCACAGAAATGAGCGATGTACTGTCAGATTTCCAACTTGACTTGATGTCCCGTACAGGCCTCCGTAGATATGATTGATGCACAGTTCCGGCACTAGTGATGAATACGGCGAATGTTCACTGTGATGAGCGGGAAGCGCACAGTTCCGGCGATGATGCGGAGTGATAGGGTCAAAGGTCACACTTGGTTCACAGGGCTTGTGATGTTCATGGAACTATTTGTTCATACGCACAGCTACAAGAATGTGTGCACAATAGCGAAACAATGTTTAACAATATGAAGGTGATTCAAAGGTGTACATTGTTACGTGAACTGGCTGGGTGGGGGGGGGGGGGGGCTGATGATCACTCCCGTAGATCAGACTTTTGACAAAGTTATTGTAGTGACTTGCCTTGGTCACGCGATGGTGCGACGGGCTGGTCCCTGACCGGTCGACCGTGTGTACGGGTCGAGTAAGCTCGGTCGAGTCCCGGTGCGGTCGCGTCAAATCGGAGCTGGATCAGCTTTCACTCAGCTCCACGAAAAAGACGAAAAAGTCCTCTGTCGCTATGATGCCGATGGTCGACTCTGGGCGAGGGGTTTTCTCTTGTCCACAGCACGGTATAGCGGTCCGTCTCAGCGTTGGCTCGGTGATGGCTTAGGCTTGGCTCAGTCCGGCGATGACTCTGGGCTAGGCTACGCACGCAGCTGAGTTTCAGTTACGTTGCGTGCGGTGTGCAGTGGGCTTGGCGACGGTGGGTGTGCGGCATACAGTGTGTGATGTGGTGCGCTGAATCTACGCACGCGGCGAGTACACATATGGATATGTACAGTTCACACTGGCGATCACAGCGGAAACGTTGTTGTCGCGGAGACAATTTCTGCTACTTTCCGGTAGTTTTCAGTTACTCTGCTTAGTTGAGAGTGATGGGTGTTCTCTGGCCTTTTTCACCACCGCTGCCACCATGAAGTGAGATGAATCAATGAAGAACTCAGAGGAGATTATTCTCAGGTTCTGTGCCACTGCAGCTTTATTCATCAGGCATAATGTAAGAGTGAGCGCGGGCGAACTGTTCACCTAATGTGCTTGCGCGCATACAAAGTAGTGCTCATGAAGTATCACAACACCGATGATCACTTTGTGTACAAAACAAACACGTGCAACATACACACGCCCGGTGATTTTGTTTCAACAAGTCAGATTTTTTCATTCCTCATAATTTACACGTAAATTTTTTTTTAAATATTCCTCATAAATTGGCAAGATAGTTAAATCATGTAATAAACTTACATATTTTCCCATTGTAATTGGGATTGGAGTCAAAATTACACCGTGTTTTGCTGTTTGAAATGTCCCTTTTTGACTCTGAGTACGAAATGTCACGTTTGTGGACCATGTGGCGACGTAGAGACCAGTCCATGTGTTCAAAGAACTCTGTCTCGACGGTAGTATCGCATTGCAGACGTCAAGAATGTCATTCAACCATCCACCTTCCATGATAATCAGCTGACGTGTTGCAAAGTTACAATTCTTTTTGTTTTTCCCAATACTTTTCCTTTACGAAATAATTTAATAATAATAATGGAACCTTGACAATTTAAATTATTGACATCGAAGCTTGAATTTCTTTTTTTTTTAAACCGTCAAAATATGATTTCATTTTAGAGTTATAGATTTGTGTCGCTATGGATTTTCATCATTGCGCCTTCTGTCTGACATCACTCGTCATGTAAGCATCACAGTTTCGTTCCCAGCGCGCGATAATGTAAATGAAAACGGAAAATTATTATGTTTGAGATTGAGTGCATCCAAAACATTGTCACTTGATGCGTATTATTGTCACGTAATGTATATCCTACACTGGTTCCCTTCATGACCAGTACAGTCAGAATACAATCCCGCACCAAACAACACGGCAACACAGAACATGTGTGCATGATATCACTCAGTTCATCAAAATGACCATGAATTCTCGGATCATCCGATTTGGATCCAATGGCTTCAAAGAATTTTAAGATCATGGCAAGAGGTAGAGAGTCCAGAGGTTTTGGCCGTATTTCTGTAACCACGCAAAATTAGTCAATTTCAAACTGTGCTTATATACATGTAATAAGTATCAATATGGCTCTAAAAATACAAATAAGTATCCTGGTACCACGAGGAATACCAGTTTGACTCCTATTATTAAAACATTCATTCAGAACTTTGCATTCATTTGGATGGAAAAACGAATTCTGAAATCGCACTTTCCATATTGACCATTTGCGCCAAACATTACCTTGTGAGCCGGAACTTTCATTTAAATCACCGTGTAAAAATAAAATCTACTTGATAAATCGTAACTGTTTTTAATCACATCTTTATGGAAAAAAAATGGTACGGACTAGTACACTCGATCGTACCCAGAAAGTTCTGACTTTTACTGAAACAGTGGCCAATAAAAAGAAATGATTAAGCTTGCCGCACCTTACCGCAAATCATTTTTAAAGGTCAGGGTACAGAGGCCAAACGAGAAAATTTTGTACAACACTGCAACCAGACAATCTATTACCACATGTTACTGTATGCAGATGGGATTGGTGCCAGACTTGTGTAGTTTGGCACGCGGTAACAGTTATAACGCTTGCACGCACGTGGAAAGCTGAAGCGCAGGCTAGGCGAAGATGCTACGTACGTGAGTACGTTCAATGCAACCGTTTCCAGTTCATTCGTGCGTACATTGTATATGCGTTCGTTTCACGGAACCCACTGCGGCAGAATCTCGAGGGTTTGATACGGTAAAAAATCAAAATTAATTGGAATAGAAAACACATAAAAATGTGCGGCCTCGAGCCGGCCTCGGCGAATCGGAAGGCTTCGAGGCCTTGCACTCCGAGGCCAAGGCCGAGGCCATGAAAATCGGCCTCGAGGCCGGCCTCGAGACCTCCAACACTGGTACAAATGATATGTAATGTTAGGCCATAGGAATTGTGTAGGAAAATTATTACGCATAGCCATACATTAAGGCATGAGATTTGCACCAAAAATGGGATACAATAATAACCCCAAAATGAGAGGAACTTTGTTTTATAACCTAAATGCATTCCCAAGTTATCTTTGTTAAGTTTTTGTCAAATTTGGGCATTCAGAATTGGACTTAGGCCCAGGCCAATTTTACATGTAAACTTATGCTGTTTTTTGGGGGTCACTCATAGTGTGTTGGTCATTTTTAGTGTGCAAGTACATTTTTAACATCCATTTTATTGCATAGTATGATTGTTAACAACTCAAAACCAACTGAAACCAATAGTATTTTTGATAAACAATGGAAAAAAAGTTAAAGTTTACCCAAGTGTTTATTTTCACTTTAACAGGTGTTTAAATATGCCTATTTATTCAATATCACAAAAATTTACCATTTTCGTACACATTTCCTATACAAAATAATGTCATTTGATCCACATATATTTGGCCATAACTCTGGATTGCAATGGTCAATTGTGGCCATTTTACCATCGTTTGTTTTCTTTTGGGTGGGCTTTGCATGAAAGTAATCTCTTGAACAAATAAAATCATTAAACGAAGTTCTGTAGCCATACTTTGAGTTTGAACGATGTATGACAAAAATGAATGCCAAATGTTTCATGTAGAAGTGTCGCAGGATATTTGGCAACAAAAAGAAAGAAAAAATCAGAACCCCCCAAAAAGAGGCTTTTTCGAAAATTTGCTCCAAATTTTAAAGTCTGGTGCTGCCACTCATTGCGATGCCTTATTTTCTTCTTTTAATTTTTTTTATTTTTACAGCAATTGTGAATGGACAAGTCAATGCAATGCTGACGTCACAGGAGGGAATCCTTAGCTTGCACCATGAGTGGAGACAACAATGAAAATCAACAGCAAAATGCTTCAGACAGCTGTTTGTCTGCTTTTATGAAGCGCATTGTACTTCCTATTGGTATGTGTATATTAAATTATAAATACACTCCTTGAAAACAAAGCAAGAACCAGAATTTTGTTTTCCACTCCCCTTCCCTCAAATGCAACATGAAGAGTCAAGAAGTTTAAATTAAAGGGCCCATGCGTTGTAATTTTTCAACGCAATCCTTGAAAATGCACAATTGGGTCTCATTTAGCCATGATTTCTATTTTTTCAAATATATTTTCAAGGGTATTTTGGGTTTTTTTATGCTAATGAAAATTGCCATATTCATGAGCAAAATTGTGATGTCATTTCAGGTAGAAACCTCCGACCTACAGCTGTTTCTGCACAATAAGTTGCCAGAGTTGTTGATACTTTGCTGTTGTAGATTTTCTTTTCTTTGGTGATTTGTTTCGTCAGTACATGGCAGTAAGCCAATGCAGTCATGTGGTTGCTAAGGCCGAAAAAAAAGTACTTCTGCTTCCAAGACATGCCTTTCAAAAATAGGGTCGGTCGGTCAGAATTTTTTTTTTTCTGAAGTGTGTGATGCACTGTGCATGTGTGGCGCGCGGCCGACAGACGTGGTTTTTACGGTCGAAAATTTCGGGAAACATGCTGCATGTATCACTCCAAATACGAGTAGTGCGATCTCAAAATGAACTCTTGAACACGGAATATACATACACAGACAAGCTAGATCATTCTGTGAATTAACTTGCAAAAATGTTCTTACTCCATCGGTGTTTTCTAGGCATTTTTACGATGTCGAATCTGACCAGTTGACAGTGCACCGGCTTGTAATGCATAGCCATTATGTTAATGTTACCACATTTTCATCATGTTTTCTAAATTGGCCCCTGCACGGCGCGGCGGGAACCAGTCGTCGCTGCATTCAGCTAGGTTTAAGCACGTGATTATAGTCACCGTGACATCGAATTGCGAAGTAGTTATATCGCGAAGTGAATTTGTAAAAATAACGGAGATTTGTTTTGAAAAAATAGCGAATGTAAATAAGAAAACAAATAAATACAAGCATTTCTTTTACGCAAAAGGGTTGTTGAGAGGTATTTTGTGGAGGCAGAAAAGACAACAAGATTAAATTTCTATTTATTCAATCATTTGTTTTGTTTTGTTTGGAATTGCCGATAAATTTGTTTAGGGTTGCAGCCTAAAAATAGGGTCGGTAGGGTAATCGGAAGCAGAAGTAATTTTTTTTGGCCTAAGGCAAAAGTGTCTGCCGTTATTATGGAAAGCTAATCTGATAAACTTAGATGCTATAGCAGAGCAGTGAAATTCATGCACCACAAAAAAATGGCCTTTTGAACGTTGTGTTTCTCAGAAAATATGCTCAATATGATTGAAATGTTAAATTATAACAGAAGAAGAAATTCTTAACTTCATGTTAGTGTAGAGAATTTTCACAAGCCATGTGCATTGTTCAGCAAAGCGCCTTAGGCACTACGGTTGACTGATTTTGGCAACACAATAACGTATGGTAGATTAGCATATTCAGTAGTGTCACTCCACGTGTCTTGGCGCGGGTCTTGGTATCAACCAATGGAAGTTGGCAAAAAGGGTGATATTTATCAATTAATAACTCTTGAAGGAGGCTTTTCTCCAAATTTGTATTGCACACCAAAATGGATAGGAACCTTATTAATATTTGTGAGGCTTGAAAAGATTGACAGATATTGCAAACGCCAGTGCATGCAACACTTTAAAAAATGCACGTAGCCAGCCAGGGGAAATTCCCAAAATTATTGGTAAGAAAATGTTTTGACGTAGACGTAATTATTGTAAACAACAATAATCTCTTCTTTTGGGTGATTTCCTTGAACGTGTTTAAGTCCCCCACATTCGGCAACCCTTCACCTACTTTTCAGCCAAATTTATGTACACCTCGTTTCCCCCCCCCCTTTTTTCTTGGTTAAATATCACAATGTAATCGTTGTTCACACGATTTTCCATAAAGTTTTAATAGGGTAACTGTACCAGTATGCAACTTGATGAATTTGAAGCTCATCAATACTGAAGTTTGGCAAAACTACTGGATGATATCTTGAGACAAGATAAATGCACGCAACTCATTGAGCTCCATTGGCATGACTTTTCCAATATCTTAGATTTCCAACCAGAACCAACCACAGTGTGGCCTCAAGGCACCACCTAGTCAGTTACCCCCACAGTGTCACCCAATGAGCCGAAACGTTAGGCAACCCTTCGCCTAATGTTTAGTCCAATTTACGGACACCTCACTTTCCCCATTTTTCACTTGATTTCCCATTTATTTTTGTTAGGATTACTGTATCAGTAAGTAACTGTGTGAATTTGAAGCTCATCAATACCGATGTTTGGAGAGACTACTTCATGATATCTGAGGAAAGGTAAATGCGCGTAACTAATAGGGTACAATGGCAGCCGTTTTTTTATCTACATGTACATTATGTCATCATAATCCAGTCTCCAATATGCTTTAGAAAATATTAATGAAGTAAGGATGTAAGTAGAATCTCAAAAATAAACTTCTCAAAAAACATGGGAATAAATACGTATATCACACAGCAGGTATTAACGATTTATGCAAATTAGGCACCCTTCCCAAAAGAATTGTTGGTGTCACCCCTTCTAAATATCTTCTCTAGGTCTGTAAGTATCTGCCAAATTTGGTGCTTTGGACCAGTCGGTCACGATTCCTACCATATGCCACCTGACTATTCATGTTGTGAAAAAGAACATTTATGTCAAATTTTACTTGGTAAATATGGTGGCAATGATAGCTCAAATTCATATTTCTCATAGGAATAAGAGTTCAACCGAATCATACATGTATTTCATCTGCACCACATCACAGGTTCAAGCACACATGCGAGCAACTGACAACAGCAACATTACAAATAACACTCTAACATTAATTGTTTTCTAGAAAACAATATCATACTTTATTGAAACCTTGTTCAAGTTGAGTTTTTTATTTACACGTGTACATATAATTATTACATAGGGGAGAGGATTTTCATCATGTTTACAATCAAGTTGAAGAGCTTGACAGCATCCCGAGCAGTGTAGCTACCGGTACTCTTCCCACCCAAGTGAGGGACAGTGTTTTCAAAACACTTAATCTGGATCCATCTCAAGTGAAGAGTGTGTGCAAAAATCCTGACAGGTACAATATGTATGATACTGAATTCTCAGATATTCTCAGATTTCTCTTATATTAAATAACACTGCCCCGTCTTTGTTTATGATTATTAAAATAAAATATAACACAAGTTCTTGTATTGGTATTTTGAAACCAGGCCTTTAGTTAGCATATGACTAAGATTTACTCCAAAACAATTACTCCAAAAATCATTGTCCAAAGATGTCTGAAAACAGATTCACTCGTTTGGATCTTGCAGTGGTGAGGAACTAGTATAGTAAACTCATCCTACCGGTACAAGTACAGTAGGTGAATGTCTGTTTAAGTTGATGGTCAATGTTACCCACTACAAATCATAACCCTGTATTGAAGAGCTCAAAAGAAGTTCATGTGTCAGACGGCACATAATAAATGTACAATATGCTGGGTACCACTTGTTACCAAAGTCATAAGAATGTGGTCATCAAAGCCTGCATATGGCGTGTGGTGAACCAGTCAGAGACTAGTTACATGAAAGGCATTTCTACACAATGCATTCACGTAGTTTAAAGTAATCTGGTAATGGACTATGCATTCATCATTTCACTGTAGCTTAGAATACATGGGTCATTCCACCGGGTTGGGAAGCAGTGCATGTTACATCCATATATTTGGTTATACTATTAAAAGTATCAATGCATTCTAAACAATTGCTCAAGATAATATTTGTCTTAAGGTGTTTCAATACTTGAGAAAGTTTGAAATCATTTGGAAGTATTTTGACAAAAATATGAGCAAAAATGTATTAATTCGGATGTAACATTGACACCGTGTCAGTGTTAGGCCTACATCCAAATAGTCTTTTTTTGCCATTTTTTACCCGTATGTAAAATATTACCCAAACTGACATTGCATATTTACAACTGGACACCTAAGCACTAAGAAAAGCTTCATATGGAGAACTTTGCCACCCATATGTGCAGAAAATCAAAGCCCTGCATGCTCTGCGGTCACACACAACGGTGCATTGACCCGGCGACCTGCACAGCCCCACTGCGTTGACCGGACTATACATAAACAGCAGGTCGATCCTCAGAACAAAAGCGATGTCTGATTTGACAAGAAAAGTGCCCCTTGTTATTCTCAACCAATCTAAACGGTTGTTACATGAATGGAAAGCTTATTGTGTTATCTTTCAGAAACCGTGCGAGGTAATTGTATGCGACCGGGTTCACACGTGTGCTGTTCGAAGAAGTAAACCCGCACCCTCAAAAATCGGGGAAATGTGCCGTGACCTCCATAGGAAACGCGAAATTTTCACTGAGTTGCCCGTTTTTCAATGAAAAAGTGCACATAGTTGTTCGCCTTTGATCATGAAGAAATTATATTTATGTGAAAGAGGAAAATCTGTATTTTGTGATGCGATGCGAGGAAGTAAGATAAACCAACACACTTTCCGCATATTAACGAAAATTTGCCTAGACATGAGCCAGTCTTCCCACGTAAACATAGCTCCACTAGTGGCGAGTGAGCAAATGCTCCCTAGTTCTCCATATGTTGTTTTGGTATAGTCAGGATTCAAATATAGTAGAAACAATACCTCAAGTGTGGATGTACTGGTGTAAAAATCACTTAATGGAAGTGTGACATTGGGTTTTACACCGTGTCAATGTTACATCCACACAACCAAGCTATCATTTCTGCTCCATTTGATACCTGACTACCGTAACAAAAGCTTTTCTTATTGTGTTGCATGTACATAGTAAGAAGTACGCAAAGTGAATTTGGGTGATGTTTCGCACAATTTTTTTTAAAAAGGTACAAATATCACATTTGGACGTAACACTGAGACGGTGTCAATGTTACATCCAAAATGACATTTTTTGCTCAAATTTTTGGCAAAATACATTGAAATCATTTCAAACTTTCTGCAGTCGTGAAACACCCAACAACAAATATTATGTAGAGCAACTGCTAGCAAGGCATTCATGCTTTTCTTAATATGGTCATATGTCACACATTGTTCCCCAACCCGGTGGAATGACCCACATACCGTAATTTCCTGCGGATAAGACGCGTCTTATCTGACTTTCTAGACCACAAAAACATCGCTGCGCCTTATCTACAGGTGCGCCTTATCTGGTGTCGCTTGAGTTCAAAGTGACGGTCTTTGTGTGAAGAATTCTTTCAATGCCGCAATCAATAATGCGGTCAACCAAGGCTCAACTCTCCAGACATTGTGACCGTATTTTCATTCCAACAATGCCGCGATGTGTTGATCCCCCATGATCGTGCTTTCATTCCAACAATGCCGCAATGCGTTGATCCCCCTTAGTGATCGTGCTTTCGTTCCAACAATGCCGTCATACAAACGTTTTTCTTTGTGGCCGTTTTTTTCATTCCGAAAATGCTGCAATCAGAATTACTTAAACGTTTGGAAATCGCATTCACTCAAGTTCTATTGTGTGAACGTTGAGGGTGTTTATTGTACAGGATATCTTCGAAGTCTGCTTTAGACTTAGGATAATATGAAGTACTAATGTTTATTTGTTGCACTTTCGTTTGTTTCATTAAACGTTCAAATCGTTAATTTATTAATTGCCTCTTTTTAGACGTTTGTTTTAAAAAGTATTATGGGAATTTGTATTATCTTATTATAATAGTAGGTCAGGATTTTTATTTTAAATATGGTAATAGGAGTTTTGTTTTTATAAGAAATTTTTATATTTAGGATAATATTAAGTCAACAAGGTTCCTCCATTCACCGCGTGTTGGTGTTGCTCAAAGGTGTGCGGTTGGTTTTTTCTGCAAGCCTGAAGATCAAGATGAAATTCGGCGTATTCTTTCCACCAGCAACCTGACATATAGCTTCAAATAAACTTTGAAGAGTCCAACAAAACAAACCGTCCTTATCAGGACGACCAAACAAGAAAAGAGATGGTTCATGTGTCTGTTTCGTTTATTTTATTAGTAAGATATCAAATAAGTTTAATGATCTTGAAAACAAAACTAACACTAAGAGAAGCGATGTATTAAACAAATATCTTATGAACGTGATTAACAAATTATAGGTTTGAAATAAAGGAAAAGAACTTTAAATACAAAAAAACATTACAACAATTTTTAAAAAATATAATAAAACATTTTTGTTACGTCTCCCCCGGTGTGACGGGATTATTTTCGTATGGTATATACATATAGGCGACGCTAGTTTTTGTATTAGTCACCGGTAGAGGGCGCAACATCTGGCTCGGAGGGACTGGGCAAGTCTACGAATCTGATCCAGCGTGCGTGTTGCAATATCTTCAGACAGCGCGTGGACCATCGTTTCTGGCCGCTGATTGGGCCGCACTGCATTAACAAAAGGCCAAGGAAGGCCAGGATCGGACACCGCAAGCAAGCATGCACAGCGCGCGTTGGCTGAATGGATGAAGGTCGGTATCAATTTACATTGGTCTTTTCTTTATGGCTCTACATGTGACCAGCCAATGTGGTTACGGTTTGATTCATCCTCCGAATAGTGTGATCGTTCTAAGGCAACACAATGGCCCCTTTGTGGCGATGTACCGACACCGGATGACACCTGGTGTTCTTCTGTGTGCGGTCAAACATGCGTCTTATGCGGCGGTGCGCCTCATCTGTTGGCGTTTGAATTTTTTTGGGGTGATTTTAGGGACCTGCGCCTTATCCGCCGCGCGCCTTATCCGCAGGAAATTACGGTACATAAAGTCTCTAAGTATTTCCAACCCCAGTCCCCTTGCTGAGCTTGAATGTCACAATATTGATGAGTTTTAATCCCAGATATTTACATGTTTGTGTTTAAATATGTTTCATCCAGGCCAAACATATTCATCAACCATGCGAAGCCTCTCAAGAAAGATAAACAAAGCTTATGAAATTGAAGAACCTCGATGGCTACTCAGTGGACTGCATAAATGAGCTACACAGGGAAGGATGCAGCTAGGGCCAGGAAAGCAAGCATTTATTACAGGTTTGTAATCCAAGTAGGGTTCACTACTGCACTGTCTGTGTCACCTGTGACAAGATTTTACTCACACCTACATGTGGAATGATTGTGATAAAGGCAGCAACAAGAAGCTGTTTAAGCAATTGCCAAATGAAACAAATAGGATGATTTTGGTTGTGAATGCTAACGACAAACAAGTTCACAGAAATGGCTATGTGGAATTCTCTATGCTGAGTCCATTAAAACAAATCAACCTGGCTGGATTTGTTGATCAAAAGTGGACAAGGATGGCAAGTGGAAATTGTATGAAATCTTAAAATGTAGAAACACGTACTGCCTCATTTTGGGGACTGGAGAACTTTCATTTCAGTGATGTGTCGTTTAGAACTTTAGATGTGTATATTTGTTTGAATTGATCTTCACTTAAAAACAATAGAACTTGCATTATGTACATAAAAAACAGGTTTCCTAAATGACTGCTTTATCCATAATATAGATGGGTCCCAAGCCCATCCCTAGATCAAGACTTGGAATGCCAGTGTCAAAATTACACATGCATGTATTGAGTGAGAACCCTGTGCGAGAACCCCTGAAGAGTCAGGACTGTAAACTAACTTGTTATAAACACCTGTTTGTCATGTTTATAGTGTACACCTTAATACATGCCAGCGGCCCGACCACATTGTAGCCGAGTCCTTCACAATTCAGCTTCTCAGCTGCCAGTAAAGATAATTAGTCTCCAAAATGTTTCTAATTTTATGTATATTTTTTTGATAATGTTGTATAATCCTCGCAGCGGATTTAGTTTAGCATTCATTAGAACGCAGGGTTTGAGATCAAGATACGTACAACAAACAGTTCTGCGATGTCTCTCTGATGAACTTTTATTCGATGAACCTAGAGTCTAACGGACTCTACAGACGATTAATGGACGGTCCTTGACGGAATTTACAACCGGTCCATGACAGACAGACCCCTGTACATTAAGAAATAATGCAAACATGGGTTTAAAATACTACTACAGTCCTACAATAGATCACAACACACAGTTCAAAGGTCATAGTACTGGTAACCAAACACTAAAACAGTACATCAGCTGGTGCTCAATAGATGGAATGTGACAGGTTACATAACACTGTTTGGGCTAGACAGAGATTTGTCCTTGTCCCCAATTAAAGTACCAGGAGCAAAACATTGACTGTACCATAAGACCAGAAACATAGTGCATTAGCTACAGCACAACTTGGAAAACAAGATCAAATAAATACACTGTCTTGACTTATCAATTGGAATTGAGTAAACATTGTTTCCAAACATACAGTACTCAATATCTGGGATTTAATTGTGGATCAAGAACACAATGAATCAAGAGCTAACCTGGATAAAGTTAAAGAACAGCCTGTACAGCTACATGTACATCATCTTCAACACCATTTGCGTAGCTGGAAGCTATATACAATAGAATGAAATAATTCTTGAACAAATGGTTCCATAATATTATCAATGATATATTAATTAGGATACGTGTTCAATTCATATTATCAATTTAAGTTGAGTGCCAAACTTTTTATTGTAAATTTCTTAGTTCAAGCATGGTTCGAGTCAATAAAAGGGCAGCAATTATTCACACAATAATGGCTCAAGATGCAGATAACTTTGTGCACAGAAATGCAAACAAATGATTGAAACCAAGAACCACCAAATATAAGAATGAACTTCAGTCAACACCACAACTACAGAACACAAAAAGCTCTCAACTAGAAACTAAGTCTCAAAATTACAACTCAAAATAAGTGAAGAACTCACCCCTCTATGGCTATGACATTGGCTTGGCTTCAGTGGCCTGCTGGATGTGGGTGCAGACTGGTCTTTTGGCCCTGATGCGGGATCTTAAATACCTACATTGGTTGGGTGATGGACACTTCCATCCATTTGCCGATTGGCTAAATATTAACTTGATCACTCCTTCCCCGTGAAATAATTTGAATATAAACTTTTTGATTGGCTAGTTTTTCAGGGAGTCCTGGGTGAATCTGCTGACCAGCAAGATTTCTTCCAGGTTCCAACAATCATGAAACCAGCCACATTTGTGATTGCTGCATCGGATCATATAGGTTCTCCAGTATTGTTGCCACATCGATATATCCATCTTCAACACTATCACCAACATCCTAAAGCAGCTCATCCACTAAGCAGTCTGGTTGTGCATGCTGGTGGGCACAAGCAGTACTGACTTCCCTCAATGCCGAACATCCGGCTGAATGCAAGCAATTTCTCTTGTTAATCCTGGCAGCCAGACTGTCTGTTCATCAGGTAATGAAGGAAAGCTAGCAGGCACCTCGCGTGAATTATCAGTACCCCGGTACCGGTATGTGCAAGCTTCATGGCCAAAATTGTTGCATGAGGCAGTGGCAAAAGAAATCAAATGAACCACATGGTTGAAATTCTCCATTACCTTTACCTTCATTGACTTGTGGCCATAATCCTGCTTCAGATATGGTAAAGGTACCTCAAGCGGTCTTAAGCACTTTTCCCAGTGAACAGATGGTTGATAGTGTCTTAAAGCATCAGTCCTCCTCAATGAAACACTTGGGGGACTGGATGAGACTTTGCAGTCTGTCTGCAGGAGTTTCACCGACGTTTCTTGCTTGTTTAGAATCACACATTCTCTCTACTGACAATCCATCACCAAAACACACAATCGGGTACAAATGAGCTTCAGGAGAGATACTCAATTACCGGTATTTTGATGGTTCCTGCTGTTGAAGATGGGTTCTCCTCCACCACCTGTATTAAAGTTGATTATCTCACTTTTCTTACATATCTTCACAAAATCCTCATAATGTGTGACATCAGAGCCTTCGGTGGTCTCAAGAAACGGCAGATGGGACTTAAGAAATTCTTCCAAAAATGACAGCCATTTGATCCTTTAGGGCATTCCAATCACCAGCAGAAGGGAGTGGAACATCTTCAACCTTCACTACCTCCCTCTCCAGGTCATAGGTGAAGTACACACAATTCCTGGCTGCAAGTGTGAACACCCACATTTTGAATTTGTTTCCTTGCTGCCTTGACTGATGCCTTGCAGCCATTTGTATTTGGACTTTGTCCCTAACCACATACACCTCATTGATCAGTATAGTCTCACCCTCTCCTTCATCTTTGGCATATTGTCCACACCATTCTAAGTCATCTGCACTCTGAGAAGCTGATGATCAAAGATACCTACTCCGAAAGTCACCTGTGACATTTCATTGTCTTGAAGATCATCTTCATCAAATGTAGATGCACTTACCCAACTTGTGATGTCAGCTGCACCAAAATCTTCACTACTGGTACGTGTCACTTTTTTCACTGACCCACAAGTTCTGCTGAGACGCACCTGCAACTGTTGAAGCAGTAAACTGGCTCTCAAGATTGGCCTTCGAATATTCAAGCTTTAGTTTTGAATCCTTCAAATTCAGTCAAAAGTTCCAATGATGCCTTTGGGTCCTTTGAAATCCCCAGACGTTGCATACACTGCAGGAGCTTCTGACTGCACCCATGTTTCCAAAACTGCATGGACATTGAGGCAGCCCTGCAAAGACTTGAATACTTGTTGAGTGAGACAAGATTGAAGACAATATGAACCCCATCCTTTGATTAATATGTGTTACTTGTCTGCTAGCAGAAGCAGGTAAAGGCAGCTTTGATTGCACCCATCAGCAAAGGCGTGTGTGCCTGCCAACTCCAATTTCCCATATCTTCTACTGTAACATCTTGCAAAAACCATGATTTATTGGGATATGAGGATGATTCCTTTTCTTTTTGGGGGCTGCATGGTCTTGATAAATGCAGCTCTTCTACTCTGTGACCTCAAGAGACATGCATTGGCTGGCTCTGCCATACTTACTCCTGTTGATGTATTTGATGATTCGTTTTTTGGAATTCTGGTGACTATTGGGTATGTTTCATCTTTGATGGTGTACTGCTTAACCTGCCGACTTTGACTCTTGGCTTGCAAGGGGTGCTATATTACCCATTATACCTCTTGTTAAGGTATTTCCTTCAATTTACATATGGGCCTTTCCACACTAATGGACCAAAAAGTGTGACAAGCGAGCCAAAACTTGAAAGTATTTTGTTTTCTGTAATTCCACTTTATATATAACTCCCTCAAGCACCACTGTTTAATTCCAATACGGCTTGATAACTTCCAACACACTTGTTATTTTACAGGTACCGGTACTTGAATGTCACCAGTGCAAGTGTGTTACGTATATAACAGGGACAGACAAAGGGCCATAAAATGCCACATCAGATGGCTTCATTTGTAACATTGTGAGGTTTACCCCTGTTCTCTCTGTCCATTGATAAGAAACAAACACAGTTACAATGATTATGAAGAAATCTCAAGAATTACTATTTATTGGAGGACAATTTCTTCATGACAATCATTTATTTCACAGAAGCTTACTTTCCTTTTTTTTTTCTTTTCCCGAGGGAAACTTGAGATCTGTTAACCAAAAATGCTGAAGGAGTTTGACCATGCTGTCAAAGAAATAGACAGAACCCTCAAACATGAAGCACTATACATATGTTGATACTGCACCTACATTTGTTTGTTCATAAAATTGCCATGTTGTAGTAACGTTCGTAACGGTGGACGGACAAATGATGTGAGAGTTACAAAATGGATTGTGAAGCAGTTGACTCAGCAAAATCTTATGATGGCAGATTTCAATTGTCATTACAATGCAGGCTGCTCAATAAAACATGCTTGATGTTGAATCTTGCTCACACAATTGTATACTTCTACAGTTGTCAGTGCATTTCAAAATGTGATCATCTTTGAATCCTACATGTATATTTATTCTTAAACATGAAATGTAACAATGTCTTTTGTCACAGTACATGCATGTAGGATTCAAGTTAATGCTTAAACCAAACATGTGAACTGTGACATTTAAGGTTACATGTATTTGACAATGTTTCCCTGTTTGTTTTTAAGGAATGCTCTAGTCACGTATGTAACAGTGGACGGCCAAACTATGACAAAGTGACATGATGACCGGCCATGCATCTGTACACAGGAAATATTTTATGGAAACTTCAATATTAAGATAAAAACACCTGCAATCAATATTATATTCAAGCCTCCAGCATCCAACCCCCCCCCCCCCTGCCCACAAGACCAGAAATGTTGTAAGCTGGTTTGGTGTTTCAAACATTCCTTAAAATTTTCCGGCCACTTTCTGATATATTTGAGGATCTTGACATAGCCCGCAGCGACCAACTTCTGGATCTTCTCGTTGTGGATTTTGGCAAGGTCTGGCTGCTTTTGCAGTTTTCGCTGAGTGTGTTTAAGTCTGGACATGACTGCTTCCTTGTCAGCATGAAACTGAGCCTCGTCTTTTGCACGAAGAAGAGGGGTGACATAGAGCAGTGTTCCTTCGTCATCGACTCGTATAGTCTGGGCTTCGAGAAGGTCGATCACTTGCTGGTCTTGTTTTGAATGAGAGGACAATTTCTCGTTGCAATAGGGGAGGACATCAGCCTGCCACAGTGGTTCAACATGCTGCATGATGTCCTTGGTGTCAGGAAAGACTGCAGTTTTGAAGCACTTCTGCTCGCGGAACTGTTCCTTCAGGATTCCGGCGGGCCCTTGGAGAGTCCAGCCTAACTTGGTGTTCACAGTCACTGGTGCCCCACTTGGTCCACACCTGACTGGTTGCCTCGGGATGATAAGGTCTGCATGGTCCAAATCGATATATATCCATCTTCAACACTATCACCAACATCCTAAAGCAGCTCATCCACTAAGCAGTCTGGTTGTGCATGCTGGTGGGCACAAGCAGTACTGACTTCCCTCAATGCCGAACATCCGGCTGAATGCAAGCAATTTCTCTTGTTAATCCTGGCAGCCAGACTGTCTGTTCATCAGGAAATGAAGGAAAGCTAGCAGGCACCTCGCGTGAATTATCAATATGTGCAAGCTTCATGGCCAAAATTGTTGCATGAGGCAGTGGCAAAAGAAATCAAATTAACCACATGGTTGAAATTCTCCATTACCTTTACCACTTGTGGCCATAATCCTGCTTCAGATATGGTAAAGGTACCTCAAGCGGTCTTAAGCACTTTTCCCAGTGAACAGATGGTTGATAGTGTCTTGAAGCATCAGTCCTCCTCAATG